TGGCTTCAATGAGTGTCACTCTTGGTTTGTTGCGGTTGTCATCGCGGCGACGGTCATCACGCCGATTGTTGCGGGCGTACCCATCGTCGCGTCGCGCGCCACGGCTCTTGAAGTATCGGTACTCACTGTCACGCTTGGCCATTCTCTCCTTGCCCTTGAGAACATCTTCGATGATCTCTTCGAGCTCGTGAATGTCGGCGACTCGAGCGTGGTAGAGACTCTCTGCTAGTTTGTCATCATCGCATGTTGCCAGGAACTGCTGTACGTGTTCTTTCGCGTCGCGACCACTCTTCTCGAAATGTAGACGGGCGGTCCGAACGTAGCCATTCAGCCTGTTTATGTAGTCGCACAGATGTTCATTACGTTCCCGGTTGGCGGAGTAGTACGCGACAGTGCCGTCTGAGTGAACTGCGAGCAGTAGCAGCGGATGAACGCGTCGCCCAACAGCTTTCACTTGCGCTTCGTCTTCTTCGGAAGTTGACGGAACCAATGAATGGCTCCGTCCCGGAGACTTAGCTCAAATGGAATGCACTATTTGTCGGCATCTGTGTGGGTTCCAGTCATTTCATCGACGAACCCACGGAGCCACTGCATACAGTTCTCGCTGTTGTTGCGAGATGCGATCCAACGGTCGGTGCGATGCCATTTCAATCCTCGGTGTCGGGTCCACGTCGTTCAGCGTCGCCAGCTCATTCATCTGACGCATCAACTCGACTTGAGGATCTTCCTCGTCGAATGTTCGCACCAAAATGTCATCGTCACTGGACGAACCATCGCTGTCGACTTGACGACGTCCGGCACCACCTTTGGGAGCTCGCGCACCGCCTCGGCGACCGAACGAACCCTCGTTACCAGCGTTAATACGTTGCATACGGCTCTCCGAACGTGGCGTAACCATGTGCGAGTCTTGAAAATACGGTGAAGCTTCGGTAGTGCCAAAGGCACCACGCTCAGCTTCACGCTTGGTCGGAGGAGTACGAACGAGTCGTTGGGGTGTCGGCGGCAGTGGCATCGTAGACGGATCTTCATCTTGAATCATCGGTCGACTCACAGGCTTCTTTCTGGTGCTGCTGCCAACCGCGCCAAACGCCTTCCGAAGCTTCTTCTTCCATTTCTGGAGAGCAGCTCCGGCTTCATGCGGACTCCAATCTTGGAGCGACATCGTCGATGGGTACGTCTCGTTCTCGAAGCCCAGCGACAACAGTAGCGAAAGTGAATCCTCGGCAACTTGGCTAGTCCAAACCGAGTTGACTGGGTATTGAAGTTCCTGCGCAAGCGCAGGCCAGTCGGCGTTTTTCTTGGAGATGGGCTTGAACAGCTGCATCCACTCATCATTCTGCATCAGTACTTGTACGCGGTCGAAAACGCGCTTGGCGGCTGGTGTATCACCGTTGATAGGTGGACGAGGTGCCTTCAGCAGTGCTGAATGCTTTGCACTCGCCACCGAATTTTTAGAACCCTCGGTCCCATCGTCATAATCTTCGTAGGCGGGTTCCGGTCCCGCAACATCATCGAGCTCGTCGGCGAGGTTCCTCGAAAGGGACCCCGCTCAGCCCCGATGATAGCGTGGCCATCTCCGGCGTCGCTGCGCCTGGCTCTGGAGCCGGCGTCTTGTCTTCGTAATCTTCATAATCGTGTGCGTCAGGACCGATGTCCGCTTCGTCGTCGAAGGTCACTGAAAGCGCGGTGGCGGCTGCAAAGCGCGCAGCCGGGCTTGAGCTCTCGTTTCGAGCCCCAACAGACTTGGCAGGCGTAACTGGTACCGTCGGTTGTCCTTTCGCCATGTTTCTTGTTTTTGTTTTCTTGTTCTTCTTCTCTTGGTAGCTCGTAAACTGGAAGGCCATACAAACAGTTCACAATGGTCACAATCGGTTCCCGGGTCGCGGCACCAGTTGTGGTGTTGGAAATCCCACGTGAACTCTAGCTACAGATGTAGTTAGGATGTTCCCACAACAATACGTCTACTAGGATAGTAAACGATCGTTCGGGCGGACCTGAAGACCCCAGTTCTGCCCTTGCACCGGGACAAACTGGACCTTGTAAACTACTTATGTAGGCCAACCAGTAAAATAAGAACACGCTACTAGCACGAGCAAAGCTAGCAGGTGTTTTAAATCCTCGTGGTCCCAACAGCGGAAGGGTACCAGGCACGGGTAAGCCTTTTACGAGATCACCGAGAGTTCAACACTCGGTTGGAAGAATAAAAGGGAGGCAATTCAAGCACTCCCAGTCGTGCAAATAGGCAACAATAAGCCGTCACGTAAAACCTCCCAATAGTAATCGGCCAATACACAAAGTCTCTTGGCCTTGCCGGATGAACCCTCGCTACAGAGCTTCGAGTTCACCGACAGGCATAACACACTCTAACAAGCTTGACCAGACGCTTACCTTGAAGCCGGTCGTCGCTCTGTGTGCTTGAGTGGAAATTCTGTTCTGTATTTAAGCTTACCCTTTCGGGTCTATTCCTAATAAGAAGTCCTAATCAAATATACAAATATCAAGCTAACAATGATCCGTTATGGATCTTCTTGCATGCCAAGCGTCGTCTGCACCGTCGCATGAGCATCTTCAACGGTCCGCGCCCTGTCCCAGACGGTGAACGTGCCTTCCAAAGGTCGCTGAGTCTTCCGCGAACTCATCCCAACCGCCACTGAGGGTTCGTACCGTAGATGGTCCGCTGAATGCGAATCCGGCCAGTCCATTATTAATAATAAGGACAGCCTGGATTCAGTGACATATGGCCGTATCCAATACTCGTTGAAAGCTCGGAAGTGACGCCGTCGAGTCCCTTGCACCTTGGCATCTCCGTACATCACATGACCGAAGGCTCGTCGCTTGAACATCTTGGGCGGTGTCACTTCTTTGTCGACAGTTGATAATCCGCAACTACGGAAAAATCACTACACCACACAGCCTCCTTATCTATTGCAACTTGAGTGGCAAGCGCCGCTTCGACATCCTTTGCGACTTGACGCGCAGATAATTTCTTAAAGTTCTTGGTCGCCGGGGTCTTCTTCTTCGCCTAGCATGTCTATGGCATCTTTGTTGCTGGTTTCTTGGCCACCTTGATCTTTTCCTTTGCCTTCAGCGCTGATCCTGTCTTTTTGCCCTTGCCTGACTTGTTGGTCGCCTCCTCCGGGGTCTCTTCATCGCCTTGCTCCAACTCCTTCACTTCTTCTTCAAACAGGTAATCGTCATCATCTATGTTATCTCCATCCTCTTCCGCACTTGCTGCAGCAGCGGCGATCTTCTCTGCATCTAGTTGTCAGCGGGGCATCTTACCTATTAGTGTAGGATTCTTGGCCATCTTGTCGTAGAATCTACGAGCTTCCCCTTCGCAGCCTTCTTTTTGCTTATTTTCTTTGGGGTCCTTCCCGAATGCAGCGGTGGTGCTCCACAAAAGCTTCGTCCTTTCAGGCTCGGACGAAACTGCTCGCGCTACTTTCTCATTAAGCGACGGGGTGTCATCCCAGCCACTTCCTTTTAAAATGACTGGTTTAGACCTGAGGGGGGGAAGGTTTTTTATGCGCCTCACATCACAGACTACTTATGATCCGACCAGAAGCAATTTATGAAAACAGAATGCATACCCCGTGCAAGTTGTTCAAAACCAGCTCACGCACCTTTTCGTAACGAAATCGTTTGGCGCGTTTTCTGAGCCATGTCTTATGTAACATGCCGTATATACCGCATGGTAATTTAGGTCACAAGTTATACTATATAGCCTTGGTTTAGCGGATTTCCTACGGCTTTTCGTTTAGTATATGTTATTAAATCGCTTCCACAATATATATATATATAGCCAATAGAAATAAGAACAAATCCTAATTGTGATCTTTTAATAAGCCAAAATTACTGGCATGAAACTGGTGTGTAACTGGCAGCGTACCTTAAATTAAATCCAGCAGCGCAACTGCAACGCTGCTTGGTCAACATGTTTTAGAGCTAATAAATTATCGGGTCTGAAAAATCTAAGAGAAAGGGAAGTACTACCTCCGCTCTGAAAAAGATAACCATTTCAAATTATATTACAACCTACCCAACAAAATACCCTCTCTATGCCGATCATTTTTTGGATTTCGAATCTCCCGCGCTTTCCCGACCAGACTGGCTCCCGCTTCCAGCTTTCATTTTGAAAGCTGGCACCTGGGGGAGATCACAGACAGTGAGCGCCAGGCCGTCTGGGAGACCTTACTACTTCGCAGCGTAGGAGGAGTGCTCAAACATCGAGATCGTTCGGGTTGCAGCGTACTTCCGTGTGGGCCGCCAAGTTGTCGAACGAATTTGGAGGCGTGGAATCAATTCGATGGGAGATCGAGTAGCAGCCGTGGTCAAGTCAAGGAAGAGCATGTGGTAGGAAGAAGGTGGATCGAGCTGAGCTGTGCGAGAGAATCGCTGCAGTTCCTGTCAATGAGCGCGAAAACCTGCGTCTGCTTCAGCGCGCGTCCAACATGAGCTGCTATTTGGTTCAGCAGTTGATCAAGGAAGGCTACATACGGCGTGCGCTCAGACAGACCCGTCCACTACTTACACCCACGCACAAGTTGGCGCGCCTCCGGCACAAGGACAAGCAAGTACGAGCTGGCACTCTCCCTACGTCACTGCCTTGTGACGCTATCTCACTCGCCAATGCTAACGCGTACATGCTGCTTCTTGCAGCGAGCAGCCCCCCACCGCCTACCGCTGAAGTTCCAGAAGCCCCACTGAGCGCCCCTTCAGAATGTGGCGATGTAGTTGCCGTCTTAGATCCGTTTTTGTATCTGTAGTTGCACGGCGGAGCATGAACGCCTGTGCCTTGCTTAGTTTCTCACTGTCAGCTCTCGGTCATAAAGCTAGCTAGCCAGCCTGTCACAAATTAATAAACGCTCAAATGAACATTCCGCGCAAAAAAAAACAAATGGTTATCTTTTTCCGAACGGAGGTAGTAATTCAGTTACGCGCCACACAGAAACGCTGTGAATGTATTCTGTGGGGCTTACTCGGTGGCGATGCTAAGTAAGCTATGTGTAAGACTTACTTCGCTGAAACTTCCACTTCGGAATCGTCCCTGTCGCGCGAGCCTTATCCCACCAAACTTTGTAGTCACCAACGAGGAAGTTGTCACGCCCCATCATCTTTGCTCGAAAGGTCAATGGTGTCATTTCCTTTTTGTAAAGCGTCTTGAACAGTCGATTAACGACCTTATTCGCAAGAGATTCAGCGATAGACCGCTCTTCGCTTTCCGTGATTAACGAACTGCTCTTGTCACGCAGACTTCTCTTCTCAAGGCTGTTGTACTCGCTGGAAAGTGAACGGGCACGAAACGCAGTAGCGGATGTCGAACCCTTTGTCGAAATTTCAGGGGTGCGAATGGATGCGGACACTTCAGTCATTGCTAGAAGCATCACCAGAGTGGAGACTGCAGTCCAAATGAGCCAACGCATCGCTTCAGGAAAGTGGAGCTTGGAGGTAAATACCGGAATGGTCTTTCCTGTGCTAAAACAGACCGTTCGCAAAATGCACCATCCGCACGTACGCCTATCGGTCGCCCTCAAATAATCCCGATGATCGGAAGCTGATCTAAGATCATTGATCTGTTTGCAGATTTCCTATGGATTTGTCTTACCAGCGTCTGGTGACCGAGCTTTTACACCAACGAAGTCCGGAGACAGTACCCTGACGAACAAAGGGTTGCAATATATGTTTGCTCCATGCAAGTTTCGCAGTGCCAGCCAAATTTGTAAACCGCGAAAGCCAGAATTTTTGTTTTGTAGTTGCGAATTGCGAGGCGTATGCAATCCCCTATGGCGAGTGTGCACTAGGAAGTACGGTAACTTGCATAGTAAGAACATGTATTTCTTGTGAGCATGATTTTGCAGCTATACGGTAGTCCTTCACCTACCAGCCTCCCTCTTGCTTAGCAGTGCCGCTGCTGATACAGCTTATGAAGCTGTAAACTATGTAGAGCCGCTGTTGACGCGGCGTGATGGTGCATTAGGTGGCTTGGTCGCACTACTTCCCCTCGTCGTTGTTCCGCGGCGACTGAGAGAGATTCAGGATCCCATACACTTCTGCACATCCGATTTTTACGAACCTCGTACATTTTAGTTCCTCAACCAGCTGTGCTTATAGCTTACGAACTCTTGAGTCTAGTCACGTAATCCCTTAAGCACTATACTCAGTTTGAAACTGGGAAAAGTATTGAGCTTAACGAACGTTTTGCTCATATGATTAACTGCGAGATTCCAAAAATCACAGTAAATATTTAGTGAGTCGATAACAAACCTATTTAAGTCGGTGTTGCGAAATACCTTTATTGCTAAACCTTTAGTCTACATGTGTTCTGGCTCGCTCTTTCTGGTCCTCTATCTCTTTTTTAATCTCCTCGTATAGATTGACTATGTGACAGATCTAGATCCCCGCCCCGGATAGCACATTACCCTCTCCCGATGCAAAGGGTTCGAAAACCGAGCTATACTATTATGTAGAGCTGGCTGTATTCAGTAAACCTAAGCTTCGGGACCCCTTTCGGGTTGCGTCTCAGTAGATTGCACGACCGGGACCCGACGATCAACAATGATATATATATCTGCTTCTGCTGTACTGGGCTGTTTTAAAGAGATTCCTCAGCTTACCTAGCTTTATCAGACGAGCCCCTACAGTCTGACCTTATTTTCAAGGAAAACATAATTGTATTCTGTATGTATCCAAGGTTTTCTAGCTTCCATTACGGTTTCCTGGTCTATTAATAGTAAGCCACCCCACATGGTTCTCATCCTGCAGTCTGCTGTATTCAATTATTTTTAAGGCCAACATTCAGGGTTCCGTTTTTTGTCTCAGGTGTGTGTGTGTTTTTTAGCCTTTTCTCTTTCACACAAAATTATGTACTGGAACCACAATGATACAGTGTGTTTTGCCATAGAGCAAGGCACCAACGTGTATTTACCGAACTTGTAAAAGCAAAAGTACCCCCCCCCTCTCCCGAAAATCACTGGTTTTAGCCAACACACGAACCTTGAACATTGTTATGCTAATCTCTTAAATGTTGCTAAAAATGAACAAATCGCACATTTTACTTTGTCTGCTATGCAGGTACAGTATACCGTCGCAAGAAAATGATACGTGTAGCAGAAACAACGGTATACTACACAGGACGCTGTAAAGACTGATGCACGATAGATTGACTTGAAAAGCTCAACGAAAGATTTGTAGACATCCACGACCCTCATTCGAATGACAGACAAGACATACAGACATACAGACGGACAAGGCCAGCTATTAATAGAAAAACAATTTGCGATGTCATCTGTTTAGTCAAGCTAATGCTGCAAACTGTAATCACAAAAAAGGTTTTTAGCAGATTACGTGGTACAAGTGTGACTAAGCACAAAATACCGCAAACAAAAGTTCGTAATATGATGGTGACCAAAGTCAGGCGAATGACGGGCAACCTGATCCCAGCAAAATGATTGAAGTACTTTTCCTGTTTATGGGTAGGTAGCATGCCCAATTTGTAAATGTCCGTGTACCAAAAGGATTCCGAATTTTGGAAATCCCAGAAGATTAAGAGTAAGAGTTATTAAAAATCACCAACCCTTTCAGTACCGATGGTTTTGGTAGGGATGGAGATCAATTGGGATCTTTACACTTCCTAAGAATTCCTTAGATTTGAATCCAGAGTTTCTTAGGGGCGGCGCTCGACCTACAGAAAAACTCTATATTTAATGTGATTCATTTGTACAAAGTTGCGCTGGAAAAACACTGTTTCTTCAGTCTTCTATAATTTGGTTAACCTGTTATCTCCTTTTTTATTTCTTATATCACGTGTGGCGGTTTACTCTCTTTGAACGAATTCGTGCGTACCCATATGTAAATGAATGCATCACTTCGTACCAAAAATAGATCGTTTGGCCTCTTATAACCAATATCCGGTGGACATACCAAAAACACAGAAGAATGTTGCCTGTGGCGGCCACAGGTAACGTCAAAACCCAATCACGTGAATGTTGCTAGAAGAAAACTGGGTGAAACAAATCTCTGTTAAAATAACCCAATGAGTGATTTCCAATAAATTGCTACTAATTGTGGCAGCAGGTGTGACCATTCGCTTGTCCTGCTACTGTTTTAACAATGTACTGCGCTAAATAGCTCCAACCACAGTAATTTCTGTAGCAATGACGCATTCATGATTCTATTACAGCTTGTGGTGGGTATTGCTTCTACGAATGCGCGCCGTACAACGTCATCATATAGCACACTTTTTCTTGACCAATGAATTCTCCCAAAGAGGACACTCTAGAACTTACATTTCGCTACTGCGCCATGTTGACAGTCGTCTTTGTTATCTCCACAATATCGCTACCTTTAGGTGGAGATCCTCGCACCGTGGTCCACGTAGTCCAGCTACGGGAACTTATAAACCCCTAACAGCTAGAATCACTAATCCTTCACCGGCAAATTATGCTATAAAGAGCTGTAGGGACAGCTTTTTTTTACGAGCTTCAAGTATCACGAGCACACTGTAGGCCTTCAGTACTGTAGTAGTATTTCAGGAAACGCTAGCTTGGGGGAGGGCGCGCAAAACAAGAAGTGCCGCCCCCGCTGTTCAGGCGGATGGAACCTTTAAGAACCTTCTAGAAGGCTCCACGGCCGCCCTACATCTGCCTTTTTGTATTACATACTGAATCTATGTTAAACTGAGCCTGCCTCTGTTTGGCTGAAACTCTACCCCTATCATATCGGATACACTCACCCTCCCTCTGGCGTGCGCGTCCCCTCAGTCTTGCCGTTCCCAAAATTGCGCTGAAGGCCAGAGGGGCCGTTCCCCGACGGATTAGTCCGACCCCGCGTTTACCCACGCCTGCCTTGTGCGGGCCTGTTTACTTGGGGCTTGAATAGGTCCGTCCTGGGGGATGGATGTGCCTCCTGCGTTTGCTGCTGCTGCCACTAGCTCGCCTCCCGCCGCTCCCTCGCCTCGATCGCCGACGCCGCCTGCTCCTGCTGCAGTCCCTGCTGTTCCGGCTGCCATGGTCGATGCCCCTGCTGGTGCTGTAACTCCACCGTCACCTGTACGGGCTCCCGTTGTTCCCTCGTCGCCTGTACGGGCTTCAGTTGCTCCCTCGTCGCCTGTACGGGCTCCTGTTGCTCCATCGTCGCCTGTACGGGGAATCGACGCGGTACATGATGCAAAATGTCGACGAGTGGAAGACGTCGGGTTCTAAAATAACATTCACGGGATGGTACGACGTTCGTGCTAGTGCTTCCGAAGCTGGTACGTGTTTCATGGATGAGCTCCGCTACGCGCTGTACCATCTTGGTCGGCCCAATCTGGTTACCATGGAGATGTGGGATGAGTATGACTAAACTCGTCCCGAGGCGATTGCGTTTGGCGTATCTCGCGAAGACGTCACGGAGTTCTGGAAAACGCTTCGCGCCAAAGTGTTCCGTTGGACTACGGCATCATGCTTCCCAATATTCTTCATGAATCCATCGGGAGTGTTGCGACTCTAAAACCACTTCTTTGAAGCCTTGGTTCCGGGTACGTACTTGGTGAGCGCGGGCCAGGATGACATCGGTCACTGTTTCGTCGTGGTGAAGACTGGTCCCAATGCTCGCCTGGTCGTGCTTGATGGGTACTCGGCTGACCACGATCCACTGATGGAAGTGTCTCCTCTCTCGAACTACCTTTGTATTGAGAGTGTAAAGTGGATTAGTCGTGTTCAGCTTCAACTTGGGTACGTGTGTCGCCACGGCAAACGCACTTCGAAGACGGCGCGTAACCGGAAGAGACGCTTGATGCAGCAGTAGCTTCAACTTGGAGGGGATGTAGTACGGGAATACATGTAGGTCTTTGAGCCCCCCTTAAGAAGATTTTACTTCATCTTCTCTTTCGTTTCTTGCGCCTTGCAGTCTCAAACACTACGATTAGATCTGGGACTTGTGACAGGTTTTCAACCGGTTCCCAGGTCTGCTTCTCTTCTCCCACCCACTCCACAAGGAATTGGGTCCGTCGCTTGTGTGTCCTCTTCTTCACCAAGCGTTTGACGATCTGGCTGATACTTCCATCAGCCAGTACAACCTCGTTGGGTCGCGACAAGCGTGTTGACTCGTTGTACGGCTTCAGCGAACCCGTATTGAGTACTGGGTGAAGCTTGTTGCCAGCTTGAATGTTAAGTTCGTAAGCATGGTTGTGTATCTTCCGCACAACAGAGTAAGGTCCAATCCACTTAGAACCGAACTTAGTGGATGCTGGCAGACCAGTGTGCTTGGGGTTCAAGTGTTTGGTGCTCAAGTACACACGGTCGCCAACCTCAAAGACTTGTTCTTGTCGGTTCTTGTCGTAAACATCACGCATTCACTCTTGCGTTTGAGCAAGTGTTTCACGGCAGCGAAAAAGAATAGCTGCTTGGCGCTCGTGAAACTCAGCGGCTCGACGACGCTTTGT